AGGGGGACCATGGTGCATGATACGGAAATAACTTCTCTTCCCTAGGGGAGCAGGGTTGTTGCTTCCAAGAAGAAGTGGATGTTGTAACCCTCGGCACACAGCAGTGCTCCTGGCACAATTCCATGCACTTGGAGATTACCCTGCTTCCATCCACTCAGGTTTTTCCTAAGGCATCTCCGGTTTTGGAAGCTTTTAAGAGCTGGAGGAAGGATTGTATCCCACGTTGTCCTGGGTCAGGCCAGGTTAGTTGCATCCTCCTCAATCTGGTGGAAAATGAGTTGAACAGCGGGAGGTGAATGGTCTGAGCTAAACCCTGTGTGTCAGCACCACAGGAACTTTGGGGTTTGTGCTTCATCTCCCAGTCTCTCTCATCCCAGTTCTTTAGATTTGGTTTCATAAGGGGCTCACTAGAGCCAGATGCCCAGTTCCTACTGAAGCCCAGTGGGAAAGGGATGGGATTTTCAACAGCTGCTTAGAGCAGAAGTTGCATGGAAAATTATTGGCTGTTTGTACTTTCACATCCTGTGGGGTCTCCTGAGAATCCCATCATCAGGAAAAGCTTTGGCCCTTTGTGGCTAAGCACTGGTGTCTTTGGATGTGAGATCCCAGAAGATGGTAGCTGCCCTTTCACCCACACTGTCTGCTTGGATTGAAGGTGTTCTTACCTCCCTTTGTGTGGTAGCGTTAAGAGGTGATGGATTATTTCTGTTGCAGCCTCTTGCAGATGGATATGGCTGATCCTGGGTAGATCCATATAACGCACTGGCTTGAAGATGGTGCTGGCTGGAAGAACCAAGCCCCAGAGGTGACTGGATCCTTTCAGAGGTCTTGGAGTGTCTCACTGCCTCCTTGTCCCCAGGTCATGCGCTACCAAGTGCTGCTGTCACTGATGCTGTCCAGCCAGACCAAGGACCAGGTGACATGGGCTGCCATGCTGCGCCTCTGGCAGCGCGGCCTCACCGTCGACAGCATTTTGCAGATGGATGATGCCACGCTTGGACAGATCATTTATCCCGTGGGATTCTGGAGGGTGAGTGCCCATAGAACCCCTCCACTGCCCTCTGCTCCCATGCAGTTGTCTGAGGTGGCTCAGAGGCCCTGGAGGGGAGCTCAGTTGGCCTAAGGATTGTCCTTGTGGCAAGGGATGGTGAAGGAGAAAGCAAAGAACTCTGTCTCCCTTCCACAGACTCCAGTGTGTGGCCTCACGTGTAATGTACATTCAGGGATGGTTTGGTTTCTGAGCTGTTTGCCTCTTCTCCCTCTGTCTGAAGGCACAAATACAACAGGATTCTCTGCCTTTCCCCTTGCTTTTCCAGAACAAGGTGAAGTACATAAAGCAGACGACAGCCATCCTGAAGCAGAAGTATGATGGAGACATCCCAAGAACCGTGGAGGAGCTGGTGCAGCTGCCAGGAGTTGGGCCCAAGATGGCTTACTTGGCCATGAACATTGCCTGGGACAGCGTGTCTGGGATAGGTAGGTGGGACCATGTTTTTCCCATTCCTTTCCTAAATCCTGCCTCTCCTAAGTCCTGCTGTATTCCCTACACAGAAGGGAAGCATTGCAGCTGGGTAAACTGCCTGCCCCAGGAGCCCGATAGCATCGCTTTAGTCATCTGCAGAGTATTTGGGTGGGTGAAGGATATGACCCTCAGCCACCCACACTGGATGTGTTGCTGTAGCACTTAAGCATGGATCCAGCTACTATTTTCCCCACATTTGGTAGCAGAAATCTACAAGGACAGCCATTCCCTCCCTCCTTCAGATGCTGGTGGGCAGTACAAGCATTGCCTAATTGGGTTGGCATCCAGAAAGATGTGCTGGCAAAGCAATGCTTTGATATCTCTTTGGTGTCAAGTCAAAGAGAGGTGGAGGGAACTGTGGGATTTGGGGATAGCTGTAGGACAGTCTGAAGCTGTTTGTTAACGGGGTTGCTTCTGTTTGAACAAATCTCATTGGGCTTTCTGTTTGACAACTTACTGGAGGGCAGAAGCAGGGCTTAGTCAAAATTGCCATTAGAAATCAGTCATTCATGATGGGTTGTAGGAAGAAATGGTCTCAGGCAATCCGTAGCTAGGGGATCTCTGGTCTGGTTTAGTTCCTGCAGCTGCCTAAGAGGTGACCACAGGTCCATGTGTTTATTTGCCGTGTTTATTGTGCACAGAGCATAGAAGAGCACAGAGCTGTGCCCCTGGAGCCATCTGCTTTAGCTGGGAGGAAGATGACCTTTGAAGGCCCCTTCCAACCCAAACTGTTCTCTGATTCTAAGCCTGTGCATGGCACAGCAGCAGAGCTCCCGCAGCAGCCAGCAGATGGGGCTGGATGCTCAGCTGCAGGGTCCCGGCCCGGGGACCTCTGGGGACACATGAATATTCCAAGTGTAGTTGCTGCTTATGGAGGAGCTCTAGGAATGGTGCCACTGGATGAATGCCTGCTGCTGCTGCAAGGGCTCATTCCTGCAGCCCTACTGCTGCCCATCAGCTGTACCAAACATGGCTGTAGATTCAGACTGGGGTCTGATGTTCTCTCCCTGCTGTGGAGGAGGGAGGTCAGGAGGCAGCCAAACAGAGCAACTGTTTTCCAAATAATGGTGTGCTCAGTTTTGATTTAGGAGGCAAGACTTTGTCTTCCTGTTTACAGCCATTTCCTGGGGTTTGCCCAATTAGACACAGAGACAGGTTTATCGCTGCTGATCTAACAATAATATACTTTGCATTCAGGGCTTTTTAGCTCAAAGCACTCTCTAAACATTTGTTTAAGCCTCACAAACCCTCTTGTGTCGGTAGGTATTATGAAATGTGTTTTCCATCTGGGTAAACTAAAGGGCAGAGATTGCAGCTTGTGTAACACTGCCTGAAACACAGGGAGGAAGAGAACCCAGGACAGGCTGCCCCGTGCCTGCTCGATCGGAGCAAGCAAACCTTTGAAGGAAGGTTGGGTCAGATTGAGTGTGGCACTGGTGTGTGGTAGGAGATACCCATCCCACCTTGCTTTTGGCCCTGGGCCTAGGAGGAAAGCAGCACATTTGCTCTGTGAATAAGCCTCCCCTCCTGTGTCACCTGGCCCATGAGGGATCCCATGCAGGGCGCTGGACCTGGTGTGCTGTGACTGCAGCTTTTGGCTGTGCTCTCTCTGTTCTGGTGTCTCTGCCTCCACCTAAACTCTGGGCTCTCCCTTCCTTAGCTGTGGACACCCACGTGCACAGGATCTCAAACAGGCTGAAGTGGGTGAAGAAGGAGACCAAATACCCTGAGGAGACTCGGGTGGCACTGGAGGAATGGCTGCCCAGGTGAGCCTCCTTCCTCTACCACCACCACCAAGCCTCTCGCTGGCTGCAGGAGCCAGGTCTGCATGCAGTCCTGTTTGTAGCCTTTCCAGTGACTGCATTTCAGGTCCCTTCTCTTTATGGGGTCTGCTCTGCAGTTGTTTCTCCTCTCCCAAAGAGCTGCAGCATCTCAGCTCTGTGGTTGTTTCCTGGCTACCAGGCACTACTGCAGCCAGGTACCTGGAAGGCTCGATGCCCAGTTCTTACCTTGACAAGTTTAGCATGACCCAAGCCAGGTGCTTTTCTGCACAGGCTCTTGCTGAGTGCAGTGGCTATAGCAGCATCAAAGCAGGGTTGGATTCTGGCCTTCACTGATGCTTAATCTTCAGCATCACATCCCGGTTGATGGGTACTCTTGCACCTCCGCATCTGTCATGTGTCTTAGCACAAGAGAATGACCACAGGCACTTTGTGTGTCCGTCCTCTGCTCCCCAGCCCAGTTCAGAGGGCTCAGGAAAGGCTGGGAGAGCTGCTCTTAGCAGGAGGCTGGGAGCCGCCTCCAGGCGCCTGGGGAAGCCAAGAGGAACAGGCAGTAGGCGAAAGGGATCCATTTAGAAGCACGGGCCGTTCCTTAACCCCTCCAAGCAGATGTACTGGGGCTCATGTTTTTTCCTCCCACTGCAGGGATCTCTGGAGGGAGATAAACTGGCTCCTGGTGGGCTTTGGCCAGCAGACCTGCCTGCCTGTGAATCCGCGCTGCACCGAGTGCCTCAATCAAGACATTTGCCCAGCTGCTAAGAGACACTGAGGGGTCATCTGGTCTTTGGAGAGCAACAACGCTGCTTCAGCTCAGCAGCAGCCCGGAGCTGAGCCCTGGCAAAGCTGTGCATTGCACGGGGCTGGCTGTGTGACTGCAGGGAAACAGGAGCCTGCTGCAGCCAGCTCAGCATCACTGGGGAGCGAGCAGCCGCTGGCAAGGGCTGAGCTCTCAGAGGAAAAAGGGGCTTTCAGAGCACAGCAGTCCTGCTGGGTCAGTGCTAAAGGCTCCAGCCCCTGTGTGAATGCCTGAGCATGCCCCAGCTGCGCTGCAGCAGGAGGAGCTGTAGGGAACAGCTTTGTCCTGGAGGACTTGCTGCTGCTGCTTGTAAATACACGTGTAATAAAGGTGGCGGGGTGTTTCTACCCATGGGGTTTGCTGGCATCTGTGCAAGGCAGGGCACAGGGAGGAGAGCACAGGAGACCTCACCAAAGTGTGAGATCAGAGCAACCAGCCCTGCCAGATGAGAGCAGGCAGCACACACCATGCCCAGCCACCTCCTAGCCCAGGCAGCAAGGGGCACTGTGATGAGTAAGGTACAACCAAAGCCTTGAGGAGCGAGGATGAGAGGAGGGCATTACCTGGACAAGTGCCCTGGGTCCTGGTAGAAGAGTAGGGGGCACCAGGAGACAAACCAGCATCGCTCTCAGTTCAGCTTCAGTGTAACCCAGGAAGGGTTACAGCGGCCACAGGCTGGTGTGTGCCTTGGAAGCTGACAGGAGGCACACCACCACCGTCGGTGTTTTGTTCTTCAAAGAAAGGGCAGTGCTGACTTCATTGTAGAGCTTCAAAGGAATAATTCCAGCTACTCTTTAAACAGGCCAGGGAGGAAGCGAAGTTTATAATGTGCTAAAGGAGGCTGTAATTCTGCTCTCGAGCTCCCTACCAAACAGATGAGGAGCGAGCAAATAGTACTTGGTACATGGGAAAACGAAGTTTATTACTGACATTACAGTGTACATTATGGTTTTGCAATGCAGCTGACAGCCTTATACTTTATTGATTTTTTTTCCAAGTTAAAGGTACAGGAACTGAATGATTATTACTGAGCTACAAGATGTCAGGAAGACGCTAAGTGCTTTAACCAGGAGCAGTTTCCATGGAATAAGCAGAGATTGAAGATTTGAGAATCTTATCAGTACACGTTTGCACACCTGATTTCCTTTGATCTGCATTCAAAACTACACGTTCTCTTTCATCCCCCTCCTCAGCTACAGCGGTGCAGCCTGGTGTGGGAAACGGGCTATTTACAGACAGGTCTTTGCTCTCTGACATGCATCAGAGTGAGACATGGAGGCTGGTGGCATGGGGAACGTTCTGCCCTGCGCAGAGCAGGGCACTGCTGGGGCTTTGGCTGTGCAGGCATGGGAAGCAACGTGCATACCCTGGGAAAGGGCTCCTTCAAGAGATTACTGACTTACAGAAGGAGGTATTTGGGAAAGGGGGCAAAAAGAGAGCAGGGAATTGTCTTGGAACACGAGGAAAGAGGTCTCTTAATGGCAGAGTCCTGGAGGGGAGGCAAACCTCTCTGCATCCTGAGCCACCATCCCGCTGCCAGGCTCACCCCATAGCCAAACGCCTGCACCGCTTCCTCTCCCAAGTCACTGTTTCCAACCTGTTCACCCATCCATGCTCCTATAAAAGATAACTTCCATAAAAAAGAACTCATCACCTTTACCCCTGAGGCTCTCCTCACTCTCCTGTCAGCCAGCAAACAGCCAAGTGGCCCTGCCCTGCCCCAACCCATTGCAGTGCTGAGCCTGACCCGCTGCCAAGGAGAGCTGTGAATGTTCTAAGGCACCTTTTAGCTCAATACGTGGGCAATGCACCCAGAGCCATTACAATATCCATAAGACACCAATCAATACAAAGGCCACGGGCTTGTAATGCAGGGCAAAATCACAGCCATGTGCTTTTCAATAGTCATCCATGTCCAAGGGATTGCTGCCAGTTGCCTTTAGCTTGGGGAAGTGGTTTTGTACTCAACTGTCCTGCTGTGCCCAGTCCCTTCCCACTGCTGCCATGGAATTTGAGATGAAATATGGGGCAGCAGAGCCTGGGGAGCTGCTGGGGCACAGGAGGGATACGGGGCAGCCCCATCACGACTGGGCCACTGCTCTGGTAGAACACCTCTGCAACCTGTGAGAGAGGGTTGTAGTCGAGCTTCCTCCTCCTCCCTCCCTTACAGCCAAAGGCAAGTAATAAAGAGCTTAAATGGGCTTAATTTGTAATGCTTTAACAATACGTTTTTGAGGTTCTATTACCAAGAGCAGGGTGTTTCCAAAGGAGGCCATAGACAGCTAAAGCAACTGCCCACTCCCTAACACCACTGCCTGCTTCATATCCAGCCCCACGGAGACCTCAGGCTTCCGAGGACACCTTCCTATTGTCAAGACAGACGCGGTTATAGGATGGAGGCATCAAACACCAGCTCCAAATCTGGAGCCCAAATACCAGAAGTAACAAACCAGATGGGACCAGGACCCAGCACCAAGCCCACAGCTACAGCCCCATCCCCATGTTCCTCCCTAGAAACAGATGCTGCGTTGTGCTCATTTCCAAGTCCAAAGAGGTTCTGCAGCATCTCGTGGCTCTTGTCCTCTTGCAGTGCTGCTGGAGCCAGGCAGGCAGCACTGCTCCTCACATCATAGGGCAGAACTGGCCCCGCTCCCTGCCTTCCCCCAGCGCTCAGCACTGCACTGATGATGTGAATGGTGAGCCCTGTGGTGTCTGGGGTTTGTGTTTAAATCCTGCCCTCCCCTCTGCAGAGCTGTCAGGGATGAAAAAGGGCTTTTCTCACCCGGGCAGATGTCGCTGGTGGGGAGGGAGGTTCCTAAACTAACCAGAAACATATGGGACTTCACTTAAAAAACCCAAGAAAACAACAAACCAACCTTTTTCATTTCCAGAGCAAAGCCAACAAGAGCCATTTACAGCCACTGTCCGTGTTCCCATCGTGTGAGCAGAGGACGGGGCGCTGGGGAGGGCTGCCAGGTATACCCCAGCCTGGGGTCCCCACCACAATGGGGGTATGAGGCCGTACAACATCACACGAGGGCACGGAGCATCCCATGGGGCTCAGCCTGGGATACCCACAGACCACACACACACCCCAAATACAACTAGAAAAAGGTAATAGAAGCCTAAATGATGCAGGTAATAAAGAGTTAAACTCTTCCAGTCCTTTCTCATAGGAACAGGGGACGGCGGGCAGCCAGAGCAAGCAAGAAAAGGAGCTTTGGTCACATTTCTTATGAGAATCGCTGGTGAGTAACAACAATAATAATAATAACAATAATAATAATAAAAAATACAAAATAAAGGGACTTTAAAATACGCCTTGTAAAAGCAACCAGTGAAGAGCAGAGCACAAAGCATCTCACGTGGACACTGAAGGACAGGGCGTAGGCACCTCAGAACGTCCAGGCTGGGGCAGGATTGAGGTGGACGGCGGCCACCAGCAAGGCTCAGAAGTTGCTGAAGATCTCCCTCTTCTTGTTCCAGTCCATCTGCGGGGCTCTCTTCTTCACCCGCTTGGCCCTCACCTTCTCCTTGGCCTCGGCAGCCGTTGGGCTCAGGGACAAGCCGCTCTCCTCAAAGGGGTCTTTCTTCTCTATGTCCCCATCCTGCGTGGAGAAGGGAGCAAAGCTGTCAGCATCCCATCAGCACCACCGTGGTGTCCTGCAGCGTTTCACCCCACATGCCCCAGGAGAGGTGTTTCTGCAGCACAGACCATGAGCAAACACTCGGGGTGGGTTCTTTGGGAGCAGAAAAGGTCAAAGTCCCTCCTCCGTGCCGGGGCTGTGGTTTCAGTGGCGGCAGCAGCATCCGTGCGGCCACGGTGTTAATTATGGCATTGCACCCTGTGGGTTGTTTTCTTTCCCCCACCTGAAGAACAGGTGGAAGTGGAAAATAGGAACAGAGAAGCTGCTGCCAGGGGGGAAAGGAGCTGCTCTGCTTGTCTGCTGGGATAATGGCGGCAGCAGGCGAAAACAGGGAAACATGGAATCATGGAATGGTTTGGGTTGAAGGGACCTTAAAGCTCATCCAAATCCAACCCCTGCCACAGGCAGGGACCCCTTCCACTGGAGCAGCTTGCTCCAAGCCCCTGTGTCCAACCTGGCCTTGAGCACTGCCAGGGATGGGGCAGCCACAGCTTCTCTGGGCACCCTGTGCCAGCGCCTCAGCACCCTCACAGGGAAGAGCTTCTGCCTAAGAGCTCAGCTCAGTCTCCCCTCGGGCAGGTTCAAGCCATTCCCCTTGGCCTGTCCCTACAGGCCCTTGTCCCAAGCCCCTCTCCAGGTTTCCTGCAGCCCCTTTAGGCACTGGAGCTGCTCTAAGGTCTCCCCTTCAGGAGCCTTCTCTTCTCCAGGCTGCCCCAGCCCAGCTCTCTCAGCCTGGCTCCAGAGCAGAGCTGCTCCAGCCCTCGCAGCATCCCCATGGCCTCCTCTGCACTCACTCCAACAGCTCCACGTCCCTCTTGTGCTGCTGCCCCAGAGCTGGACACAGGATGGGGGGGTCTGAGCTCAGGCACACACTGCCTTCCATGTGAAGGAAGCATCTACACCTGCCTACACTCGCTGCTGCCAGACCACACAGAGCTCCAATGTAATGATCGCACAAGCCCTGCTGATAACCATGGGCAGGTTTTCCACCAGCACTGCGAGGGAATGGCTCTGGTTTAAGGAATGCAAAGTGAAGGGGGTGGTGGCTTCAACCAGCACACCAAGCTAAGAGCCACAGGCAAAGCCCCACCAGCCCCAGCACCTCCGGTTCCTAGCGCAGAGGGGACCCAGGCACCTCTGAAACACCCCATGGGAGGATCTGCTGCTCTCAGGCCCCGGGACACAGCCCGGTTTCCCAAAGGCAGCAGCCATCGGATCAGGATGTGTTATTCAATGCTCAGGGACACAGGGAGATGCCAGACTGCAGGCGCTCGGCCACGGCTGGGCACAGCTGGCCTGCGAGGCTCCACTGGACAAACAGCCCCAGTCCCACAGTCACCAAACCCACGCTGCTCCCATCTCCAGCAGCTCTTTACACACCAACGAACCCCCTGTGCTCCAAGCCAACAGCTCCTTGCCTTGCTTTCTATTGCCTCTCAACCTGCCTTGCTCCTGGGAGCAGCACTTGGACCTCACAGCTCCATCCTCCTGCCCTGTAGCCTGTCAGTAGAACTACACTGAAGATTCAAACCCCCTGCAGACATCCTTTCATCTGGCCTTGAAGGGGTGATGCATCCATCCCAGCAATGCAGACACCCCCATACTGGAACCAGTGCTGTGACAGCTCACGGCTCCATTGCGTGCACATCTACAGTGCAAGGGATGAACGAAACCTGGGTTTCATTGCTGAGTGGATGTAAAGGTACCCAAGTCTGTGAGATAAAACTGCAAATGCATTGCAAGGCTCTGTTACACCATAAGGCAGGGACGTACAGTGGTAGGTAAAAGGGAGGGGGGATATTTGGGGGTTTTACCTCTGATTCCTTCCCAGGACTCTGAAGGTCACTGTGAGATGAAGATGTGGATCCTCCATTCAGCTAATGGGAAACACAGTGTTAGTGCAGTGTGCACAGGGACAGAAATAGGGATAAAATATAAAACTAGTCACAGAATCATGGAGGGACCTTCAAGCTCCTCCAGCTCCAACCCCTGCCATGGGCAGGGACCCCTTCCACTGGAGCAGCTTGCTCCAAGCCCCTGTGTCCAACCTGGCCTTGAGCACTGCCAGGGATGGGGAATCACAGCCGCTCCATCCTGGTGGGGATGGACATCCCAGCCACCCCTCCAGGGGCAGGACCCAAGTCCTGGCACTGAAATGGGGCTGAAACCAGCCTTGTTCAACCCCTAAATTCAAGCTGCAGCAGGGAGCAGTTAAAAGCAGGCAGGCAGCAGCAGTAAAGCTGAGCTAAATGAGCCTTAGGGACATCACGAGCACCCCTCTCAGCTCTGCAGGCTGGCAAGTCACCCCAACAGGCTTCTATGCCATAGGTGGGAGTGGAAGAAAGCCAGCAAGCTGGGAGCCTGGCCTCTCACCCCTCATCCCTCTGGACCACTCCAACACGTTCCCCTGACCAGAGCTAACCCAGGATGCTGCCCAGCCATCGGGGCACCCTGGAACAGGCAAACACTCACCTGAGTCTGTGCAGATCCATTTGTCATGGGCTGAGGCACCACACCTATGGACCACATAAAACCACACAGTAAATACACTCAGGTGGGGTTGCTGGTCCCAGATCCCAGGCAGGAGCCCTTCCTCAGCATCACCCACCCATTGGCCATCCCCAGCCTAACTCCCCTGCCCACCCCAAGCTCCAGCAGCTCCCTGCACCTCGCCTCTTGACTTGCACCCTTGTCAGCTTGCGGTCAAAGCAGTGCAAAGAATGCAATTACTATTTCCCCTATCCCTGCAAACACCAGCATCTCCCAGGACACTTCATCACCCCCGCATGTACTGTCAGCGGTTCTTGATCCACGAGGAATGCATTGAGATGGCCACGAGAGGTGCAGGGGCTCCAGCACCCACTGTGCATCCGTGACCCTGGCTGCATCCCCAGCACAGGGAACAAGGGCTCCTTTCTCCCCGATGCCACCAGACAGCTCCTGCCCCAGCTCCTCCTCGAACCGATGCGCAGCATCTGACACCGCTCTCGCCCTGCGCTCCCCAGCATCCTCTGACCCATTTCTTTGCACAAATCCCCCCATTGAGCATCCAGGAGCCGGAGCACGGTGCAGATAAGGAACAGCTCTGTTGGGAAACAAGAGCTGGGGGCAGGACGGGCTGGGGAGCGGACAGGCAGCTTTCCCTGCCAGGTTTCAACAGCAAGGAAAACATTTGATGCAAGAGCCACCCCTGTGATCGCTGTGGCGTGAAAACCTCCCTGTGGTGCTTCTTGATGCGCACTCAGGCTCCTTCAGCAGAGCAATGGGGGGGTTATTGCAATCTCCCTCCTGAGATCCCAGCTCAGCAGCCGAAAACGGAGGGGATGGAGGAGCTGCCATCAGGGAGATGTCCCAGCCCCGTGCGAGCATCCCGCATCTCACCCCTCACCAGGCACCCCCCAGTGCCACCGCGCTCAGCCTCAGCCACGTTCTGGCAGCAAGTTCCCAGGTTAATCATTCACCCTGCACAAACACCCAGCTGGGTTTGGGCTCCATTAGGAAGCGTTCTCACCACTTATAAATAGCTGGGTGGTGCTCAGGAAACAACCAGGGGATGAGGCAGAAGGGAAACGGGACAATCCCTCGCTGCTGGCATCCCACCCAGGACACAGTGAGTCACGGGAATGGCGCAGGACCACGCAGGGAAAGCAAGGGCTCAGGGCTCACCTTTGGTGTGTTCCTCCGTGGGGGTCACCCCCAGCTTCTTGAAGTAATCATCTGTCTCGGGGTCCACCACCAGGAGCCTGGCTTCGTTCTCCCTGGACTTGATGTGGGACACGACCTCCGAGTGCCGCAGCCCCTCCACGTTTATGCCATTCACCTGCAAAGCAACAGCATCAGAACCCATGTCTGTGCCCCCTCCTCGCTGGGCCCCAGCAGGCTCCAACCCCCTAAAGAACGGGGTTTTCCTTGTTTAATTCCCACTGGGATGATAGGAAGGCTACAGGGATCTCCTTCCCTTTCCTGCCATGGCCTCCTACCACCCTGACCTGCCTGGTCCCCTGCTAGAGCATCCTTTATGTTACCACACACTTCTGCCTGCATCCCAAACACATCCATTGGGAATCACCTCACCCACCCAGGTCCTGCCAAAACACTCTGGCTGCCCTCCTCAGTGATTCCAAACCAGCCTTCACCTTGGATGTGCCCTGGGTAACCCAGGCTGTCTGTGGGGTGCAGCCATGTGCAGGTGTCCTGATCCCCATCCCTGCACATCATCCACCCCTTCGCCATGGAAAGCCGCGCATTTCCCATGTCCCCATGCCCGCAGCACGGATTCATTTCTCCCTTCCCTGCGTGCGAGCCGGGACCTGGCAGGGAACGTGATCCCTGCTCCAATTGTTCCCCGCAGCGAGGAGACAATTGTGATTTGGAGGCATTGTGCACGGTGGGGAATGAATCGCCCTTTGTCCCGCAGGGGAAGGTCTGCACCGCCCGGCCCCTCGCTGCTGGACCTGATTCACTGGGAGAAACCCCTGTTCCATGCTCCAGCAAAGCCCAGCCCATCCTTCACCCACCCAAAGGTGCCTGCCCCCAGGACAGCAGAGCCATGAGCTAATGCAGCGTGGGCAGAGAGTGCTGGTGGTGCACCAGGAGTGGGGTAACCTCCTCTTAAACACAGCTACTCCATCACTACAACTCTGCGGAACAAGACAAAGGCTCCACAGTCTGTCCAGCACAGAAAGGACTTTGCTAGGAGAGTGGAGAGCAGGTTTTATTGGGTTTTCTAAGCCCCACATAACGTTATCTCTGCACTCTTTGGATGCACACATCTGCCAGCATCACCAGCACCAGCACGCTCCTATTCCTCCTCCTCCTGCAGATGGACAACTGCCTTCACCCATGCACCCAGATTCCAGAGCTCAGGAGTGGGATAACCCCATCCCAGCCCCACAACAGACCCAGCAGAGCCGCCTGCTTGTCCCAGCCACAGAGGGACACAGGCAAACACTGCAGACCCTGAGCCAGCTCCAACCTTTGGGCTCCCCTTTGCGTTTGGGATGCCTGAACACAAACCTGGGGCACACACAGGCCCTGAGGGTGAGGACAGGGCTGCAAAGGGCCGGGATGGAACTGGAACCCCCATGCCCTGGCTTTGCAGATGCTGGAAACCTCAGCTGCCGGCTTGTAACCCTGCTCCATCCCCGGCAGCATCCTCCTGCCATGCCAGGTCACCCCGATTCACACCCAGCGCTCACCCCAGGTGAGCTCAGCCAGGCAGCACCGAGCTGCTCCCCCCCTCCTCGGTCCCAGCACAGGGATGGAGGGCATCAAATATTTATCAGAGCCCCATAGAGCAGGCTGGGAGGGGATCGAGTTCCCGAGCTCGATGGCTCACCCCTCATTGCTTTGTGTGTGCCAGGCACCCGGCCAGGCACCCATCAATAAATAACACAGCCCCTCACCGTGACACCGCGGAGCTGGAGCCGCTGCCCTGCTCCCTGCACTCAGCCTGCAGGGGCTGGGAAGAGGCAGCAGCTCCCATGGCTCTGGAGCAGTTATTCATGGGGCTGGGAAGGGCTTTGGCCATAGTAATTCCCCATCTCGCCCAGCTCTGTGGGATTAAAGTGCTCTCTTCCAGCAGTGCAAGCACCATTCCTGCTCTGAGCTGGCAGCGAGGGACATGGATTGGTCCCCTGGGAGGGTTTTGGGGTTCATCCTCCTCGGGAAAGGCTACACATCACCCCAAAAGGGGATATCTGCATGATGTGATAGTAGTGAAAGGGGTGATGGCTGCTGGGTCCATCCCTGCCTGCCCTGATGTCCATGCGCTGCCCAAAGCACACGCAGCTCTGGATGGGGAGCCTTGTCCTTCAGGAAAAGCACAAGACAAAGAAGGCAAAGGGAGGGTGTTTCCCAGCTGCATCCAATGCAAGGAAGGCGCTTCCAAGAGCAGTTTCCCTCCCATTCTTTCATGATTTAGTGCCTTAGAATCTCTGCAAAGCTTTTTCCCCCTCTGTCTCCCAACACGTGCCTGGCACTGCATCAGCTCAGCTGGGTGGCACCAACCCATCACTGCACGGTGAGACACATCCCATGGGTCCCCGCAGCCCTTTCACTGCAGTGGGCAGATGCAGCTCCAGCACTGGGTGGCATCTGGCAATGCCACCAACTAGGGGTCCTGCAGGGGGGCAGATGGGCACCCATTAAGTACCTCATCTGTTCACAGGGTCCCAGTGCCACCCCTAAGCCACTTGGACAAGCACAGGGGCTGCAGTTTGCCTGTGTCACCCTCCCTTGTGCCAGCAGGAGTCTGGAGCATCATTTGGGTTTCAGTGCTCATTTTTGTCCCATGGGCTGCTGAAGGACCACAGAGCCGCTGCCTAAGCACCTGCATGGGTCTCATGGCTCTGCAACAGGGGAATACATGGGAATTCTGATGGAGAAGATCATGGGATAGGGGGCTGTTTCAGCATCATGCTTCCAAGGGTCCCATCGCTTCTGCAAGAGGGGGACAGAACCCAGCCAGGCAGGACTGCACATCCCTGGAACACACCAAGGAAACCCCGGATGCTCCCTGAACCATCACCTCCACCAGGCGGTCCTGGGGCCGCAGCCCGGATCTGGAAGCCGGTGAGTCGGGATCGACCGAGCGGATGAACTGCCCCGGCCGGGACTTCTCGCTGTGCAGGTTGAAGCCGTAGCCATTGGGACCCTTCTTCAGGTGGCAGAGACGTGGGCACAGCTCCTTCTGTCCGTTTAAATCCTGCTTAACGGAGCGACAAGAACACGGTGGTTAATTTATAGCCCTGCCTTCGCCCTCGAGCAGATGCCATCATAAATAAAGCTACCAAGGAAGCCCCGTATCTGCACCCTGTCCTCCCGCTCCCCCGAGCAGGGCCAGGGGAACAAACGAGTTTCCTCTCATTGAGGCTATTTTCGAAAGCCAATTGTCCAAAACCGCTCCAGAAAGATTAAAACAAAACAAAAACGTGCATTTCCTTCTCCAGATAAAGTCCACCCATGCACCAACCCCCCCCAGCAGCAGCAGAGCCCCACCAGACCCGAGATGAAGCACACAGGGTCACTCAGACATGGAATTAACCTTGATTATTCAAGGCAGTGCCATGCCCATGGTCCTGGTGATAGCAGCATCACCCGTGGGTGTGATCACCTCCCAGCAAAGGGGTTCCAGGGCAATGAACCCCACTATTCCTACAGGATGAACAGCACAGGAGCACAGGAGGCATTCAGTGCTTTCCCCCTATCCATGGAAAATGCTTTATGGATCCTCAGGGGGGCAAACACCAGCTCTCCTCCAGGTCTGCAGGACCCATTATGGATGCTGCTCCCCTCTCCAAGCCCCTTCACTGAGCAGCACCAGCTCCAGCGCAGCATCGGCTCTGGCACAGCACCGCATCCCTAGCAAGGGGGATACAGGCTGTCCTTTCCATCCGTGCTTTACAGCAGAACAGCCCCTGCGGCTGGGTTTTAATCTCCCACCACAGTAAGTGCGTGAACAGACCAGGTTTTATTCACATCATTTCTGGTGAAATCGCTCAGAGCTTTTCCTTTCAAATCAAAAACCCACGCTGCAATTTCCTCTCCAGGCCAAAAGGCGCTGTGAAACGCCAAGCCTGCCTCCCACCCTGCCCGGGGATGTCCTCCCTCCTCCGACACCTCTGCACCGGCTCCATGCTGGGGCTCCCTTTGCCAACAGCCCCTTGTACTCCCAGGGCCTTCGGGTTATCCCTCCGAAACACCCTCAATGCTGTTTAAAAGCTGATGCCTCACCAGGAAGGCACCCAGGGATGATGCCAAGGGGCTCCAGCCGCTCATGAACCCTGTGTGGCACCAACCAAAGGATGCTTCCCCCTGGGACTTGCTCCCGCACCTTGAACTCTTCCAAACCACAGCCCCTGAGGCCAGAGCACCAAATTCTGCAGAAAACCACTTGGAAAGGAGTCAGCAGCGCCCATAACGGGCACTGGGGCACACCTGGACCGGCTGCAAACTGTGCCTGCGCATCTCATGGAATCAGACTGGTTTGGGTTGGAAGGGACCTTAAAGCTCATCCAGGTCCAACCCCTGTCACAGGCAGGGACCCCTTCCACTGGAGCAGGGTGCTCCAAGCCCCTGTGTCCAACCTGGCCTTGAGCACTGCCAGGGATGGGGCAGCCACAGCTTCTCTGGGCACCCTGTGCCAGCGCCTCAGCACCCTCACAGGGAAGAGCTTCTGCCTAAGAGCTCAGCTCAGTCTCCCCTCGGGCAGGTTCAAGCCGTTCCCCTTGCCCTGTCCCTACAGGCCCTTGTCCCAAGCCCCTCTCCAGGTTTCCTGCAGCCCCTTCAGGCACTGGAGCTGCTCTAAGGTCTCCCCTTCAGGAGCCTTCCCTTCTCCAGGCTGAACTTGGCAATGCAGTTTTCTATTAAGAACCCCCTTGTGCCATCAGCACCTCAATGCCCGGCTTCTTAAATGGGAAAAGTCATGAGTGCAACATCCACGGATGAGTGCACCCCAGCTGCTGCCCCACAGGATGGGGCTCCATCAGTCACCTTCAGCACTTCAGTCACCTGCTCAGCACAAGCCAGGACCATCCCCATCAAGCACCATGACCCTGTGCTCGCATCCTCTCTCCTCCATCTGGATCCAGCATGCCTGGACTTTTCCCATGGCCCCAGCGCAGTCGGATCACCCCGTCTGCAAACATTTCCAGCCTGCCTCCAGCTCTTCAAACACTGAGGAAAACAGGAAATGATTCAACTGCCCAAAGCGGGTCAGAGCCCTGCGACCTTAAAGGATGCAGGGGGCTCTGTGCAACTCGGCAAAGGGGACGTGCCCCGTAAGCGGAGTGGGATACGTCTGGGATCACCTATTTGGGTTTAAAATGGTTTTTAAAGCATTCCCCTCTTGCTGCCAAAGCTCTGACCCTGTGAGAACGGAGCAGCACGAAAACACTGAGAGAATCACCCGAAACACTGCGCTTTGGGTGCCATCCCAATGTGGGATACCCGGGAACCCCAGGCAGATGCAGGTGGAACACGGCAGCAGGGCCAGTCCCCTCGGCACTGGGGGATCCCCTGGGATCGCCAGGGAAATCAAATCCCTCCATAAATAAACCACACAGGGGAAAGCTTCGTCTGCAGGATCCCTTTGGCTGCAAGCGTGGTGACCGCTGCCGTGTCCTCCATGGGGTCATTCTTTCACCCCAAAACCCGAGTTCAAGGTCCTGAACTGAAACGGCTTCGAGTCCTTTAGAAGCAATTACCCCCCCCCCCCCCACCCACCCAGTTCAGCATCTGTTGTGAGCAGAAACCACTGAACAAACCAGGTCCTAGCCCACAGCTCAGCAAAGCCCCTCTCTGGGGCTGAGCATCCCCGGCTGCACCCGTACCGGTGCTCAACCACCCCGCACGGACCCGCTGCAGCCCTTGCCAGCCCCGCTCTGTATTCCCTATCGGAGCGGTGCCAGCGTTCCCTGGTTGTGTTCTGGGAAGAGATTTCCTAAGCTCCCGCAGGGATTTTGCCTTTGTGAAACCCAAACCCCACCACGAAGCGCTCCCTGCAGCCCTGGACGGGATCTGGGCTCGCCAGAGCCCCGCCAACATTCCCTCCTGCAGGAATACTGCAGCTCTGCTCGGGAGGAGGCTTCGCCAACAGCATAAAATGCAGCTCGAGTTGGATTCACTTCCAGGCTAGAAAGCAGCAGGAATTCACTGCAGTGCTGTCCATTTGCATGCGAAACCAGGCACAGGACGAAGCCAATTTCTTCCCTCTAGGAATCCAGATACTGCCAGTGGCCACTCGTTCCATCAGCTGGATTAGGAAGCAACGGCACATCATACCCCACCTCTATATGCTCCATCTATACCCACCCACAGGCATGCATGTGCCAATACAGGCTGCCTGCATCCCAAGTGCATTGCCACACCACCCCTGGCACTGCTGCCCGAGGCAAATCACGGCCCTTTTCGGAGGAAAAGGGTTTCGGAAGCGCTGCTCAAGCTGCTCCATTTCAAGCTGCACAAACAAGACATTAAATAACAATGAAAGGCTTCCAATTAAACATTAAACCACCCCAAACACCGCTTGGGTGCTGCCAGCTCTCACAAAGCCACTCCAGCACCCGAGTTGTTTTTCCCCTTTAGTTTCCAAGGCTGTTGCTGGGAACAGGGTCCCCCAAGGACATCCCTTGGCTCCCTAAAGCCTCTCCCCCTGCACGGAGCTGGATGCTTCAGGCACATTCCACCATGGGGCTGGCATCACCAGTGTCACCAGCGCTGATTAACAGGGGTGTTTCCATGTAATTCATTAGTGCATGGAACCTCCCTGCAGGCAGAACCTGCTCGAGAAAGCACTCAATCTGATTCCTGAAACAAAGACATCTCCTAGGTTGACCCTGGAAAAGCTCTTCCCTGGATCCAGCACCCACAGGTGAGCTCAGACCAATTGCATGAGGCTGCTGGTGTCAGAGACCCACTCGCCCTCCCCACGGACCCTGTGCTGTCCCTGTGCTCCCCCACCACCATCCCAAAGGATGCTAACTCACACAACCAACCTGTGCCGTCAAACCATCACCTGCAGCCTGACTGAGGATGAAAAGGGCTTCTCAAAGACCTCTGTGTTACAGGTTTTGAGCAGCACACAGACACTGCAGGCTGCACGATGCAAACTTGCCACCAGCAATGGCCATGGGTCCAAAGCAGCGGTGGCCAGGTCCCAGGGCCATCTCCAGCCCCTCTGCCCCACAGCTCCCCATGCCACACAGGCAAATGCACACCCCATGGGCTAAACCACCTTGAAAAGTCACATTTTGGGGGTTTATTCCAGGAATAAAGCACCAGTATCAGCATAGACACCTGGCTTTCCAGGTCCTCCAGGAGAGGAGGAGGAAGAGGAGGACACAGAGCACCCACAGAGCCAATCTACTGGCCACGGACAGGTCAGTACCATCTACTACAGGAACCTGTAGGTCCCAGCACACCGTGGCTCCTGCAGACCAATGTGCCAAAGCCCTGATGCTGCTGTGCACCTCAATAAGGGGGGGGTCAACCCTGAACCCCCTCCATGGCTGAAGGGATGCTCAGCACAGCCAGGAAGCACACAGTGTCCCACAGCAGCACTGCAATGGGAATGGGGCCTCCAACCCCACTTGTCCCCACTGAAATGGGGATTTAGTCAAACCAAGCTGAGCTCATCCACCATAGGCATGCCAACCGCCTCTGCCCATCACAGCAGCGTCAGGGCTCACCACCTCATCCACTCAAACCTGCTTGGACCACCTCACCCCCAGCACCAACCTCAGCCTCCAGGGCCCATCCTGGTGGGCTTTGCCATTTCCTGGGAGTGTCCAAATAGGCTCTAATCACTGCTGTTGGGAATTGCACCACCTGGATACGCTCCAGGCTCTGATCGCCCTGCGACATGGCAAACCTTTCCTCCTCTACTCTGCGGAGCAGGAGCGGTCCGGCCCCGTTTACATTGCTAGCATAGTTTCTTTTAAGTCAGCTCCCGTGGCGTTTCCTCTCCTTCCACATGTGGTTTCAGTCAGAAAACACCTCCTTTGCTCCCCTGCTCCTTGCAAAGAAAGCCTCAACAGCAGATCCCAAAGGACACAAGGCTCCTTTCCTGCTCCAGGACCACCTTGGGACACCGAGATGTCCTGGGATGGAGAGGGGACACTGCCCAGGGCCTCAGTGTCCATCCCCACTGCCTTGCCTCAAGATGGGACCTCTCCATCCCTGCATTTGGCTTCTCTGCTGCAGGCA